CAATAAAAGGCAACCAGAACATGGAATCAATGTACTGATGAATCATATGCAAAAGGCAAATGTATAAGTCATATATATATATATATATATATATATATATATATATATATATATATAATATATATAAAGTAAATATTACTTATGTTCAATGATTCAAAATGATCACCATGGCCTATATACTTACTGTGACAAATAAGAACTTAGCTTGGTTACCTAACTAACAGTAGTTGGGAAGTGCTACAAATCATATGCAGAAAGTTATGTCTCATTTCTTATTAACAATCTAATGAATTCTCAGTATCATTATTATTTACTTACCATTGTGCATATAAATGATAATGATATTGGGTATGCTCTTTCTGATTCAATGATGATAACTCACTCTTATTTCAACCATCTACCTACCAAAATACATCTGGAAGTACAAGTAACATCCATTAAGACCAAACACAAGAAATAAATTACACAACTCCCCCAACCCAACAAATCCATTCATTTACTACATTATGTTTGGAAAAGAACAATTTTGGTGAGATATCACACACTACTAGAATGACAACTTGTTGCATATTCTCTCTCTCAGCTTTGCTTGCTGCAATGATAATCCTTTCCCTTTGGCTTCCCTTTCACTTACTGTTGCTAAAGCTTCTCTGATCTACATGCCAGACAATCCTTTAAGACAATTCCAGCCACCCAGCCTCTTCTAGTCCTTGCATTAAAATTTCAAAACACTGGGCTTGTTGTGCATAAACTAACTTCAAAATATGGTAATTATTACCAACATAATCACACCTGTTGAAGACCAAGTCCCCAACTGAGGTCAGCAATCTTGCGGGATCCTGTGGGGGAATAGGGGGTTTTGGGTGGGGGTTATGGCTAATTTTGCTCATAGTAGGTATAATAATAAGAAAAAGAAAGTAAAAATTAAAAACCCAAATCAAGACCTCCCTTTCATATAACATGGAAAGTGGAAAATAATAATAATAATAATAAAAAAAACAAGCTAAGATTTGGCCACAGAAGGTAAGATGTGGTGCTGTGCGAGCAAACAAGCAAATGACCCAGGACTACCTAACTGCATAAAATACCACAAAGGTCACCAAAGGAACCAAAAACCTTCCTAACCCATGGGCTTTGGCCCCAAACCCCCTCCCAATCATTGTGGGAGTGACTTACTTCATGCTCTACTGAATAGCAGGAACATGGTTATGTTTTGGAATTTTTGTTTCTGAATTTTATGTTATCCCCGAGATGGAAACATTTTCAGTAAGAGATCATTGGGAAAATAGTAGCACTGTAAACAAATTTCTTTTTTCAAACAAACAATAAAGACTGCAGCAAGAGATTTGTCAAATTTGCCGGTAGATGGCTGCGCATGCCCAAAATGTGGATGTAATATGTATTTCTAATAAAAAAAATTATACTGTCATGTAAATCAAAATACAGAAATACACTGAAGGTAGTGCATTTCTAAGAGATTGATAATGATTGGTCATGATGTCACAAGCTATATGCACCAAGACAGTTTAAATTAGGTAATTGCATTGCCAAATTGTTCACTACAAATTGAGAAAGGTTGGACTTAGTCGCTGGAAGCGCATGGAGGCTTAGCCTCCACTTTTGTCACAACCCATTTTCTTCATTTGATATTTTATACCTGCCCATATCATATTTTACATCAGTAAGTGTAGTTTCTACATTTCTTTATGGCAATGCCCTTAGATTTTCCATATCATAGAGTGGTTGTTAGAGTAATATTTATTTAAAATATTTCTACTGGTATTAAAACTGTATCACAAAATTCAAAAACCTTAAAAGACCATTACACTACAGATCATCATTGCCTGAATAATAATAATAAAAAACTAGCATTTGGACAAAGAATGCTCTTGGTTTAGCACCCCTACTTCTCTAGACAGTATGCCTAGGCCTAGCCAAGGATGAAATATCTACCGTGAATCAAATGAAGCTATTGAAACCTCAATTTGAGACCTAGGTTCTACTTTGAGATTTTATTTGCCAAGCCACCTCTAGTCATCCAGTTTCTTATTTACACTCGTCTGGGTTTGGTATATATAGCTTGGCATCATAAATTTTTTAAATGATGCTATGACTAAATAATAATGTTCAACAATAACTATTGTGATCATAAATTGTAAATTGCAAGTACTGGCCAAGGAATGCTTTTGGTCTGGCTTCCTTTGTTCCCCAAGGAGTGCACCAAGGTCTGTCCACAGGGGGAAAATTCCTGTCTGGCTCCAGAGTCAGATATGGCTATCCCAAACAATGGAGCTAGCAATCAGCTGCCCTATACTTGTCTTAATCCCAACTGCAAAACCCATCACCAACTGTACTTCAGTCAATATGACATTTCTTCTTTTATGAATAGGACTGTACTCAACTTCATGCACTCATGCTATTTACCTTTTTCAAAGATGGCTTCTTCATGCTTCCTGCCTTGGATACCTCAACAGTATTACTTATATCCTCCAACAACCTCTTGTTTCTCTGAAAATGGAAGCACATCCAATAATTTTGTCAAGAAAGTGCTAATCAAAAATGTACTCATTGCGAAAAGCATGAAATCATGCAATGGCTTTGGTAGGCTGAATCATGGATAGCACTGCAAAATGACTTAAAGGGAGCTTGTCTTTCTCTGACAGTAGCCACATAATTTGTTTAGTATCACTATGTGTCACTGGTACTTCCTCAATGTGAAGGGCAGCTCCCTCCCCCCCTTTTCCTTTATAAAAGACAGGAATAAGCTATTAGGGCCCACTGTATGCTCAAAGTACCAAATGAGCCAAGGGCAAATGGGAGAAAGTGCTATTGCATGCCAACAAACCCACACTACTGGCACAAGTCAATTTTTAATACAACAGTTAAAAATAACTGCACCTCTCAATGACTATTACTCCAGTCAACAAGATTATGAGCACTCCTCGGAATCCATAAATGTCACCTAGTGACAAAGAAGCCCAAGCCCTGTATAATCAGCATGACAGTGTCCTTAGATTTTCCCCATCAAACTTTAGTCATTATGTAAATATACACCACTGAATTTTTCCCCCTTACTAATATTACTATAGTAATTCTTTACAGTTTGGATGCACTCATGAAAGAAAGTCTGCAACTCCGTGTCAAAATTTAATCAGCCACAACGTTTTCCACACCGCATGATTGGAGGGCTGGTGGGGGCTTTGTGCCGAACACCTGCCAGCAAACAATGTCTTCACCTCAGTATGCACAGCAAGGTAAAGTGGAAACTTGGAAGCATTAAGTGGACTTAGGCAACACTTTTTCCTGTAATAGTGGCATTATTGTAGATGTATTGTGATTTCAAATGGTACACCTGTCAGAGACTTAGCCTACTCCAGCCGACACTGTTGGAGGATCCTATGGGGATTCAGGGGCTGGGGAGGGAGGTCCTGCTTATCGCAGGCATTTTAAAGAGCAATAGAAAGTGGTAAATAATGATCCCAAGCCAATAATTGCATTTCATACGATAAAGAAAGAGGAAAATAGAAATTCCTGAGATAAGATTCGGCGATGGAAGACTCGACACTGCATTGCATGAATGAATGAGAGAAGGATCCCTTTCATAATTGAACAAAAGATCAGAAAGATTGCTGTGTGAACGAAAAATCTTCCTAACATGAGGGCTCTGCCCCTGGACCCCCTCCCATTTTTTTTTTTACTTTCTTGGTGTAGATTACATCAAATAGAATGGAAACATATTTTTCTTTATGATATAATGCATGTTGATATCCTTCAGTCTAAGCATATCATTATCTATGTTTTTTTTCTTTAAAGCCAAAACAATGTCGAAAGAATGGTCACTGCAGCAAGATCAATCAAAGTTTATTATGATGAAGTATAAAGACCCTTCCTTATCTATATTAAAACTTTACTAGTAATATAAAGAGAAAATTAATCATAAAAGCCATGAAGGAAGATTAAGAAGATAAAACCCTCTTGTCAAGGTCACAGGAATTTAATAACAATATCATATGCAAAAAATAATTGTATGATACAATGATATGTCAATAATTGCATAACAAACTTCATGGATCAAAATCATCAGCAATGCTGCATGTTTCCTTACATGATAAACTCTCAAAGAAAGAACTAGGAACAGTCCAAACTTTTTCTTCCTAGCAAATTTATGGTGGAGTTTTATCAGACTTTGCAATAGCACAGTGGTTCTAACTGCCCTTGTTCAGGTTTTACTGTATTTTCTGTCCAGGAAAATATATGGATCAATTCCTGTTATTTGGGTAATAAGTTAAAAATGTCAACCAAACTCGCACTGCGCCACAAACCTTGGTTGAAGCTGATGATCTCACTGTAGGCATTCTCAGGGTCTGCAATGACAATCCATCATAAGATTTCAAGATAGTTGGAGAATAAACCACTTCAAAAAGTGTACATTGCATCATTCATAGACCATTGCACTACCTGCTGAGTCCTTTACAAAAAGGGGTTTAAAATGATTTATCAAAGACATTTTCTAAACATGTTCTACAGTGCAAATCAAGAGTTATACAAATCAAGTCATCGAAACAGTAAATTGCTAGCTGACAGGAATGTTTTTTTTCTAGCTACAGTTACTTATCAACACAAAATGTGGTTCATTTGTCTTGCAATATCGATGATCCACTCATAAATACAATCACAACCTCTAAATGCATTTGCGTTACATGAAGCTTACCGAAATCTCCGAGAAACCCGACCTTACACAACTCCAAGCCCGCGTGTTTACCTCTCCGACTCAGAGCTAGACACAAGCCTGCCTTCTCTCCTATATAAACACCATAATAACCACAAATCCGGCTCCAAAAGCTACCTCACCTCTCACACACAACCAAATGCAGTCACCTTCTTCGAAATTAGGAGGTGTCACACAATCAAACTGGCTTATTCAGTCTACAGTGCAGGAGAGTCAGCCTAGGACGTCTTCCCACTACCCGCGTGCGTTCTGCATTGGGTCCGAGGTTACG